CTCTAATCTCTAAATGATTATAAATATTATATAAAAATTAATAAACGACCAATGTAACTAGATTTATTTTCTACATCTCCATCCACAGAGCTGAAGCTGATTGTAGTGTCAGGCCGAGCTCATGGGTGAGAGATTTCTCTGGCGTCTCTTCCCTCCACAAAAGCTCTTATGATGTGAGCCGCAGCCTCTCTGGGACAAAGATGACAGGGAAGTGCTTGCTGTAATTACTGCTAGCCGATCTGCATATTATAATTGGGGTCCTGGGGCATCATTATTTCACAGGGAACAGAAAAAAAGGCAGATCAGATACAAGAGCGACATCCGCGTAATCACCATCTCTATCAGAGGAAAGCCTGATCGGCCCAGTCCATCAGCCCGACAAACTCTTTCATGAGCAAGCAGACGAGACGAGCGCAAAACGCCCTAAATATGGCAGCGAGGCGGAGGAGGAGGTCAGCTTCATTTCTGGGAGACACTCATTTGAAGAAGCAGGCGGCAGGTCTCTCGTCTCGGCCCTTTGAAATCTCAATCCCTGCTTGATTGAGTTTAGATCAAAGCGTGGTATGAGGCGGACTATATTTAATGTTCTGATGCTGGAAAACACAATGCTGGAGTATCAGAGCGCCTCTGAATATCTACATGCACAACTTTCATGATCAGCCAACTCACCAGGGGCGATTCTAAGATTTATTTAATGGGGTGGGATGGGAGGGATGGCAACTAAGTTTGGAGAACTGAACAATTTAAGTATAGTCTACAAAACCGGCAAGTTAAATAAACTTAAATATGTACGTTTTGGGAGACTCCATTAATCAATTAAACTGAGGCAACGAGTTTACTCAATTCATTTAGTTCTGTCAACTTAGGGTGCTTTCACGCTTGGTTCATTTGCCTGGACCGTACAAAAGTTCCATTGTCTCCCCTTGCCACCTCCTCGGTTGGTTTGTGTTCACACTGTCTTTTTTCCTTCTGAACCCCGGTACGCTTGCGTCATCGAGCTTCTGTTTTGTTTACGGCCGTTGCTAGGTGACGGCCACGCAAGCAAGCGCCGAAATGGAAAGACTTCCGCACATCGCGGTCATTCTGCTTTTGCTGAAAGCTTTTGGACATGCAGAAAGCAAAAATATTATGCACATTCAGAACATCACACAGTTAGCCCTTTCACAGTGATACCGGTAAATATCCGGAAAATTTCCGGAACTACTTTACCGGTATATTCAAAAAAACGCTGTTCACACAGGCGAGGACGTTACGGAATTTTTCCGGAAAAGAGCATTCACACATCCATCGCAAAATGCCGGTAAATTCTGACATCATTAACCAGAAATGAGCTCTAAACGGCTGCGCTTGTGTTTGTAAACATTTGACTACATTACAAACTCTTCGGATGGATCAGTATTGAGTACAACTCTAATGAAAACATATAGAGAAACACTTCCGCATGTCGAGATGTTCATGATATGCGTGTGTGCTGGCGCTATGGGCGCTCACGGGCACACGCAAAGCTTGAAGGTAAACAAACAACGGCTTATCATAAACATTTTATCGATAATTATTTACACAGCATTAAGAAGGAACATAGAAACATTATCTGACTAACATCTAGCATCTAGGTGTCTGGAAAAAATATTCAAAGGCTTTTATTCTCATAAACCGCGCGCACGTGAATGCGTCTGACTGTTCTGATTGGCTAAAGTAGACGTCTCACGTCAGCACGTTCTAGACGTGCACGCGCTTATTACGGCAATCTTCCTTCTGCATTCACACAGCGCAGCATTCCGGCAATTACCGGTAATGTACAACTTCTCT